TAGGTTAGCTATAATAGTTTTTATACCCATAATATGTTTGCTTTCATAGAAAAAATCTCAAATTTTCTCGCTAAATTTAAACGAGTAAATTAAACTTTTGGATTTTCTTTTTCTTAAAAGAATTCACTATTTCATAAATTAGTAAGGTTTCCATGTTATTTAATGGGTTAATAACTAGAAAATTTGTTCTCTGGGAAACAAATATGTTGAAATAATACCAAGTGTTTAACCTTTTTTATACAAAAATATCGATTTTCAATAATAAAAAATAGGTTTAATTATTCACGAGGTCCCTATTTTTCGAGGAGAATCTCAATTTCATCCGGTTCTTTTTCGATTTCTCAATTGGGTCCTAATTTTATGAAAATTGCAACAATTGGGTCTCTACCGTTAAATTGGACCCAACGGCGTTAGCACGCTGGAGTGAGTGTTTTTAATTGACATGGATTAATGATGTGAATTTGAGCAGATTCCAGAACTAGTAGAAGGTTATTTAGAGGAATTTAAGATTTTGGAAGTTTTCCCTGTACGAATACACAAAACGGTGTGTTGTCCGAGATCAAGGAATATCAAAAATCAAAATAATGAAGAATCAAGGTTGAGGTCACTGATGTAGTTGGAGGAGAGACTACACCTTCGACGTTGTCGCCGAATTCAACGCCTCCCCCAACGTCTTCTTCCCATCCACTGCATTTTTTCACCTCCTATTTCACAAGAGGGCATTTTTTTAGTCTGACGAACCCTATTTCTTTCTTTTTTTTTTTGTTCTCCTTTATACATATTAATCATACCGCCGCAAATCATTTTATTGCTTCGTTTATATGATTTTATCAATTTTAATTGCAAGAAAGATATTTTTCAAAATTTTGAAAGGTATGGTACTTTTATGTCTTGTTTTGAAAGTGTTGTTAGATGCCGCAAATGAACCATGTTTCATTTTCTAATTTGCAGCAATTGATTTATTGAAAAATGCCTTCTTGTTTTGTTTCAGGTTCACAAGGAAGGCAGTCATCCAGATTTCCAGTTTTTTAGCCGTTGATGTTGTTAAACTGACTGTAATATTATATACTTTTGGATATTTAAGAACTGGTGGTTAGTGTTTGGTTCATTTTTTAGATGTTATACTTGATTGGAGTTGGAGTTAATAACTTATTTGACAAAAGGTAAAAGGAAAATTGGAGAAAGGATGTTAACCACCGTCCTTTGTATTTCTCTGCATTGTTTGCTTCCGTAATAAGTGAATGAATATGGAAGCATTGGAGAAGCGTCATTGTTTAGGCTACTTATTGTGTTCCTTTTGGCTGCACATGTCACTTCATTAGGGTTTCGTTTTAGGGATTTTGGGGTTTCTGATTTTGGGTTGAGTATGAAGAAGAAGACCTGCGTTTTGTTCNGCAAGAAAGATATTTTTCAAAATTTTGAAAGGTATGGTACTTTTATGTCTTGTTTTGAAAGTGTTGTTAGATGCCGCAAATGAACCATGTTTCATTTTCTAATTTGCAGCAATTGATTTATTGAAAAATGCCTTCTTGTTTTGTTTCAGGTTCACAAGGAAGGCAGTCATCCAGATTTCCAGTTTTTTAGCCGTTGAGGTTGTTAAACTGACTGTAATATTATATACTTTTGGATATTTAAGAACTGGTGGTTAGTGTTTGGTTCATTTTTTAGATGTTATACTTGATTGGAGTTGGAGTTAATAACTTATTTGACAAAAGGTAAAAGGAAAATTGGAGAAAGGATGTTAACCACCGTCCTTTGTATTTCTCTGCATTGTTTGCTTCCGTAATAAGTGAATGAATATGGAAGCATTGGAGAAGCGTCATTGTTTAGGCTACTTATTGTGTTCCTTTTGGCTGCACATGTCACTTCATTAGGGTTTCGTTTTAGGGATTTTGGGGTTTCTGATTTTGGGTTGAGTATGAAGAAGAAGACCTGCGTTTTGTTCTTGTTTTGTGTTTTGTTTTGATTGAATTGAAAAATAAATAAAAGGAAAGAAAATATAACGTAGATAAACTTTTAAAATGAAAAGTAATCAAAAAACGTAAGACAACTTTTAAAATGAAAAGTAATAAAAAAAAATAATAAAAAATGTAAGGCAACTTTTAAAAACGTAAGGCAACTTTTGAAATGAAAAGTAATAAAAAAATCTACTTTCTTCTGTAATGTGTCAGCCACCTCAATTAAGTAACCGACTTAGCGTGCCACGTCAATCACACACTAACGCAGTTGAGTTCAATTTAACGGTAGGGATCCAATTGTTGCAATTTTCACAAAATTAGGATCCAATTGAGAAATTGAAAAAGAACATGACTAAATTGAGATTCTCCTCGAAAATAGGGACCTCCTGAATGATTAAACCTAAAAAATATGACATGACTCACTGAATTAAAAAATAATCACTATACAACAGTACAAAAAAATATTAGATAATAATCAATTTTAACAACAAAAAATAATTAATCACTACAATAACAAATTTACATATCAATTTATAAATTAAAAATTATTGGTAACTAAAATAATTTATATTATAAATAAAAAATATAATTAGTTTTCAAATTAGTAACTAAATTAATTTTTATTATAAATTAGTTTCTAAATTGATCAATAACATTAATTACCAAAGTTTTAACTGAAAATTTTTGGTCTTTAAATTTATCTCTAATTAATTAAAGACCAATTTTAGTTATAAAAGTTTTAATTACTAATAATTTTTAGTTTATAAATTAGTATCTAGATTAGTTACAATATTGACTAATTACCTTTTTGTCATTAAAATTGATCATTATTTAAGAAATATTTTGCAGTGTAAAAAATATAACATAAGCTGCTAAATTAAATGATGATATTTTGTCACATATAGTTGTCATTACTGTGATACTTTGATGATTTTGAGAATGAGAGATCATGACATATTTTAATATTTAATAGTTTTTATTTTTTATTTTTTAAATTAAAGAGTTAGAATGTATAGTTAAAACTAAATTTAAAAAGCGTAATAATGTCTTTGATTTTTTATTGTGCTAAATTTTTTTAATAATATTAATGGTACACTAAGAAATTAAAGTATATTTATATTTTTAGAGGAAGTTGAGGTAAATGTATTAATAGTTTTTTAATTGTTTTTGGGAATGCATACTTCTGCTGAGTTTTTAGGAATCATTAATGTTTTAAAGCATGCTAGAGGTACAGGCGTAACTATTGGCTAAGGGGAGCTTTGCTTTTAAAGATTCGTCAGGACTTGGGAAAAGTGCTTTCAGAGACTGGTTGAAGAATGATTTTACTTTTAAAAGAAGATGAGATCGATACTCTTTTTTTGTAAGCTTCTACAATCTAAAGATTCTCCTAAGAGAAAGTTTTGTAATAAGAAGTTATTTAATTTGGTTTTAATTCATAGCGAACATTATAAACAACTTAGTCTTTTAACTTTATTTATTTATTTAGATTTTTTTTCATAATATTATGTTTAATGTGGTTTCTCTTATATTCTTGGTTTGTAGAAAATATATACAACTCTTGACAATATAATATATAATTAATTGTGAACAAAAGGATATTATTAGTTATTTTTGTCAAATCGTGTAACGTTCTTTTGTTAATAATTAAGTTATGACAAGAATAATTGAATCTGTTTGTTAGTTTGAATCTTTACAAATATTTCAATCTTAAACTTTAACTCCTGTAAATATAATATACAATTTTTAAAGTAGTTTTAAATTAATTACCTATTATACCTTTTTAGTCTTCTTATTTTAATATATGTATTTGTGTGTCATAATATGTTCTTTTTCTTTTAATATAACTAATTTTTCTATCTTCATGTTAATTAAATTAATAATATAATTGGGAAAAATATTATTTAAAAAAATATCACAATTAATTTTTTTTTAGAAAATTATCATTTGGGGTTAAGTTTCAAGATAATTATAAGAAAATTTATGAACTAATTAGATGAGAATACAATACAAGTTTGACAATGTCAGGACCTCAACTATTATTTATAGATATATTATATTAAATAAATAACTGATTATTAAGTAAATATCGTGCTATAAAATATAATACATGGTGAAATTATTACATTTCAAAATAAGAGATAATTTATTAACATATCAGTTAGGAATATTATGATGGTATATTTGACTTTTATTTTGAAACATGTTTTTTAAGTCAATATTTTAATAATCAAAATGTAATATATGTTTTGATATATATATATATATATATATATATATATATATATATATATATATATATATATATATATATATATATATATAAATATATATATATATATAATAATTATTTGTTCATAATAAATTGTAATAGATAGATATATATCTATTACATGATAACTATAATATTTAATAATACCATTTAAGTTACTTGCTTATTATATTAAATAAATAATTTAATCAGTCAATACATTATAAGCAAAGTTCATTCTCGAATAATATTCAATACTTAATTAAGATATTTAATTTTTTCCAATAAAATACCTATTAAATTTATAAAATATATTATATTTATAAGATTTAATTGTTTTTAAAAATTCAATACATAATAAAACAATAAAGATAATATTAAATATTATATTTATTAAATATGATACTTTTTCATTCAATAGCAGTTAAGTGGAGAAATTAAATAGAGGTTATGATGACTAATACCAAAATGAAATTGAAATCAAATTTCATATGTAACACTTGTACATGTATTCAACTTTATATTACTAATTGGTATAGACATAAATGTATTTTATTTATATCACTGAAAAAATAAATTATATTATATTAAAATACAATTATTCAGTGTATATTGGTTGTCCTTGTTATCTCTTTCTTCCCCAGAACAGTTAATGAAGAAAGAAAGTGTAAAATAAGTTATGTCTAAGAATCTTTTCCTGTTTTTTTTTTTTAATTCACAAGTCCAAAAGGAAAAATCTGCTTTTGTTGGGCCTTGAAGGAAGTCCAGTGGATATATGAAACTAAAGTACGCACTTTTATTGAAAATTTCAAAGGTTGACAGAGTAATCTCATTGGAAGAGACTACTTAGACACAAACAGAAAGACCTAAACTTAATTGAAACAAAGTTGTCCACATAACACAACATTGGACATAAACAGAGGAAACACTCAAACAGTACTAGAAACACACAGGAAAAACATCATTATTAACTAAAACATCACCACCAAAGGTTGTTTTAGAAACACTCCGAAGCAGCTCCTTCAACATCTTCATTGTTTTCTCCATTGATCTCTCCCATTCCACCTGTTAACTTCCTCGCCCTATTTGCTTGCTCCTTCCAATCAGTTCGTGTCAATGCAATCACCATAGCAATAGCACACACTATCTGAGCCGACAGAAGGCCCAGAAAGAGGCCCAACAAGCCCAAATGAAAGCCGAAGCACAGGAAAAGACCCACAGGCAAGCCCACACCATAAAATGATAGAAAGTTTATTTTGGCACCCAAAGCAGGCCTAGCACTCCCACTTAGCATCCCACAAATTGTAGTCTGAGGACAGTTCCCAAGCTCACACAGACCCACAATGGGCAATGTTGTTGAGAGCAGAGACAGAACAGCTTCATCGTCGGTAAAGATTAGTCCCCAGACATTGCTCGCAGACACCATCACCAACATAGCCACAATGGCTGTGAAACAAGAACATAGCAAAGCAGTGTAGGATGATGCCTTGGCCTTGTTAGGCCTATTGGCACCGAGTTCATTCCCTACTTTTGTTGAAACAGCCAAACCTAATGCATAAGGAAAATTATACATAAATGAAGTGGCCTGGATTATTATTCCATAGGTGGATACATTATCTGCAGCATTCTCTAGGAGCCCCGAAAAGAGTACCAATAACTCATACCACCACCACTCCAAACAAACGGATATACAACTTGGGGCTCCTTGACCAAGAATAGGCTTCCAGTGATTAAAGCACTGCCATGACCAACCGTGCCAAGATTGAGAACAAACCCCAGAGAACCGTATGTAAAGCAAAAGGACAATTATAAAGCTTAGATTGGTGAAGGCTCCAACCAAGGAAATCCCTTGAATTCCCAAACCAAAATTTTGAATCACCACATAATTCATAAATGCATGCAGCATTAGAGTAAAAGTTGCAGTGAACATGAGAGGGAGGGTCACACCTTGGGTTCTCAAGAAAATTTTCAGAGGGCTGATTAGGGACTGACAAAGTAGGTCAGGGATAGAGTATGCAAGATAGGTGGCCGCAATGGATGAGATGGTGGGATCTTGGCCGAATAACAGAAGGAGGGATTCAAAGTTGAGCCATAAGGCTGAAATGGGTATGCATGTGATGATCAGAATGCTGATGGTGCATTGGAGGGTTTCCCCAACAAGGTTCCATTTTCGGGCCCCACAAGCTTGAGAGGATATACCTTCCATACCTGTTGCAAGGCCAGAAATCACAGAATAACCCGTGATGTTGGCCATGCCAATGGCTAGGCTTCCACCAGCTAATGTATTTTTACCTAGCTTCCCCAAGAAATGCATGGATATTGCAGACTTTCCATAGGTTAGAAGCCCAGTGACGATTGTTGGGATGGCAATGGCATACAAGTCTTTTATTTCCTCCACCACCTGCGAAAGAAGAAAACATTATTTGCATGCAGATGCACTACAAAGAAGAACACATAAGCAAGATTCAAGGTTAAACACCTAAATCTGAAATCATAGAGGATCCGCTCCTCCCACTATCAGTTTCATTATTTGCATGCAAAACATATAAACAAAATTCAAGGTTAAACAACTAACCTGTGGAATCCTAGCAGATCCGCTCCTCTCACTGACAGTATCACTATCATTCAACCCATTGATCTTATTTTCTCCGGCATCAGAGTAATTTGACAAAAGAGGACTAGAACCTGGATGACTCTCAGTCATGGTGCTAGCTCTTTGCTTTGAAGAGATCTGTCGAAAGAAAAACATTACTTTCTCGTAAATGGGTCTGAGAGAGAAAGTCATTTTGAATCTAGTACTTCTTTTCAATCAAGAATGCATGTTATATAGAAGATGAGTCTCGCTTTTTATACACCTGTATTCACAAACTTCTGCATGTTGCTCTTCTAGGTCTGTCCATGGTGTCACTCAGGAATATTTTCTTTTCTTCCCTCTCTCTTCGAGGGGGCTCAGGTAAATGGACCAGAAATGGACGTGTGTGGGGAAAGATAAGGATGCGAAGAAGATGCCTGTATCAATTCTTGTCCTATTGATAAGGCATTACAAATATTGTTTGGAGCAGTCTCCACAAAGTACAAATGCCAAAGCATATGTATGTAAAGGATGCCAACTTATTTGCATGAAAATCAGTGTAAAATTTCAAAACAATGGTTTTTTTCCGTTTTTCATCTCGTTTTATCATTCATTTTTTCTTTTCTGGTTTTCTAGACAGTGGTATAGGGTTCATCTCTCGAATAAAAAAGTATGTGCTTCTAAACAACATGATTCTGGTTAATATTTAACTAATGTATAGTTAGATGTTATTAATGCATAAAATTAATGCACTTTATACACTAATTATATATATAATAATGTTTCTACTCCTAAACATGCACCTAGTCCAGGTGACATTTGGCCATACACGTGCTTCACGGATGGATGGAAGGAAACACTCAAACTATGTGCTATTATAGTATTTGTATTTGTTTCAAAAGTTTGATACAGAATCTGACCTGGGTCTGCGCAATTTTACCTGACCAGTTTTCTCTGCATTTGTTTGTATTAAAACAAGACAATCTGCAGCAGCATACTCACGTCAATTTTCTCAAATAAAGTGCATATTCCCCAACTCAGCAGCATGTGTATGATTTTCTTCCTTAAATGAGAAATTTATGTTCTTAAAAGTGTATAAAAGTAACTACGAAATTGATAATTAGAGAAAAAAAATGAGATTTTGCTACTGATTAAAACAGGGAAAATCATTATCATAATTCACAAAACTGAATTTATTGAAATAGAATATGCTTTTTTTGATAAAAAATTTACATATCATTATGTTTGTATGATATAACAAGGCCAGCAAATACAGTGAATATTGTTTTTACTACTTCAAGCATGTTTGTATCGTGGGAGTACATTTAGCTTCTGTTCCGTTCGGTATAACGGTTATATACCGGTTTTTGCAGTGGAATCGGTTGGATAAAGACTACTCGGGATTCATTCTCGAATTTCAGATTCCAAACTCCTATGTTGTTTGGATTCGAGTCAGTTGTTTGGATTCGGTGAATTTATTTCCACTGGAAATGAGAAACAAAAGTTCAAATATTAATGCATAAAATTGTCAGAAAAAAAAGCTCAACTAGTTAAGATATAAAAATAGAAAAACCCAACTAAAAATGGATGAAAAGAAAACTTTATAAGTTAATAAAATTATACTTTCAAAGAGAATATTCCAAGAGAGATATTGTTTTTTTCTTTCTTAAATTATATATCTAAAAAAACAAGAATAACATAAAAGAGATTAAAATGGTTTGAAAATTTCCATCAAACTCCCTTATCTTATGTAATAAAAGTTGGAGGCCTTGCTAGAACTCTCACCCATATGGGACTTCCACCTCCATCAATTTTTTAATAAAGTCTAAATCCAATGAACTGAGAGAAAAAAAAATGAAATGGCTTAAAATTTAAAATTATTCGTTTAAGTGTATTTTTGGGATGTTATTATTTCTAATTTGTAATTTCTAATTTCTAATACGATTTGATGTGTTATGCTACAACATGACATTTTTCTTATAGAAGTTTACGCTTTAAACGTGTGGATGAGGATGAGACTATAATAGAAGCAGATATTATTATGGTGATTCACTGTAAATATAGTGTGAGTGTTTAAATAAAGTATTCCCAAGTAATTATTAAATAATCAAAATTAAAAATAAATAAATTAAAATTAGTTTCATACGTTAGTTTATAAAAATCTTTTTACACTACTCCCTTCAAATCTATATCTTTAATTTGTTTACCATTTAGTTTTGATCTTACAAAAATATTTGTATATTATACTACTTCTACTTTTTATTTAAGTAAAAATTTATAGAAAAATTATCCCAAAAGAATTTAAAATTAAATAAATTATTTGTCAGAAATAATTTATTGTGGTCCACCACGAAATTTGAAGTAAAGTAAATTAGTTATTACTCATTAAAGGTTAAAATAGTTTTGATTTAATTCGGAGTGTCAATGCCCTTGGTCACAGCATCCTGGTCCACTCTGCATTTGTTCTTTTTAAAAGTTGTCAGATCTAGCTGATTCCCATAACACTTACAGATTAATAGTTATGATGATATAAAAAGTCATTTTATACTACTTTATTCAAATCTACGTTTGTAAGGATTATAATATGATAAGAACTTCTTTTAATAATTTTTTAATAATTTTTTTTCACTATTGACATGAATAGATTAATCACAAACTATTATATACAAACTATTATATAGACTATTATTAAAAAATTGTTAAAAAAATATTATTTTTTAAAAAAATTAACAATTTTTTTTAATAATTTTTTTACCACTTATATGATAATTTGTGTTTGATCAATTTTAAATACGAGCCAGTGACACATATTAAAAAAAATTATTAACTATCATAGTGCATTTTTAATTTGTTTATAAGTTAATTTTATCATATAAAAGTATTTATATATTATATTACTTCCATTTTATGTAAATATCTAAAGAAAATATTATTTCAAAATAAATTATTTCTGTAAGAAATACTTTACTGTGGTCCACCACAAAAATCAGAAGTGGAATAAATTACTTATTAATCATTAAAGTATTAAAATAACTTTGTTCAATTAGGAGCGACAATGCAATTGAGGTACACCTTGTATTTGGTTATTTAAAAGTGGATTTGCATTAGTTGGTTTACATAAAACTTATATATTAGTATAAAAGCATTTTTATAAATGTATAATTTTAATTTATTTATAATTTAATTTCATCTCATAAAAATATTTGTATATTATACTACTTCCTTTTTTTTATATTAATATCTTTAGAGAAATCTATCTCAAAACAAATTCAAAATCAAATAAATTATTTACATAAGGAATAATTCATTAAGTCCATTATAGCATCCAATATCTCACACTGGATAATTCATAATTTATATATTGTAATATTACATTTACGGTAACATAATCTCATACTTAAAAATTCATAGTTGATATATGTCTATACATGTTTTAAACTCGGATTTCAACTATAAACTCATAAATATAACTCGAATTCTTCTAACTTATTCTTCGATCTCTTTCTTCGTTAGTACTGGATCAGACGACATTTCTTCATCTACTCCCGTATAACGAATTATACGATCATCATACATACCCAAACACAAACAAGTAGGGTGAGCTAACATGTAACAAATCATTTATAAAACATGCATAATTGTTTTGATACTAACATCATATAATAATTATGTCATACACCCTCGTACCATCATACCACAATTCCTATTAGACACTCGTCCCACAATACCCAATAAACACCACAATACCCAATAGACACTCATCCGGATGATTCGTTGATGAGCGGTCACGGGAGGTTATGCACTTGTGATGACTTCTACTTCTTCTTACAAATACACTTCCAAAATACCCCATATCATTCACAAGGTTAGTCCTCAACACTATGTCCAAAATCGGCACATAGACCAGGACTTCCTGCTCCTCTCACCACATAATTCATCCCTCTCTACTTGAGACTAGATGATTATTAGAGTATTATGATAACCTCCAACTACAGGACCCTCAACATCAACATATACACAATTACCATATCATTACAGAATCTCTCCATGCGACTCTTACAATGCTCATATTCCTCAACTCATATTATACCATTACGAAATCTCCCCATAATACTCATATCATGTTCAGACGCATAAATTCAAATCCAATATAATAAATTACAATCATTACAATTAAAATTCATAATTTTGTATCTACCACAATAACATGAATTCATTCCAACGAGATATATTGCACAATAGTTTAACAGTACATAATCTGTTCAACAAGATTTAAGTTAAAAGCTTGTCGAGTAGACTTCCAGGAAAGAGAGGTGGATCACAATGGACAACTTAAGTACCAAGTCTTTCCTTAGCCAAAGTATTCCTCAACTAGTTTTAACAAATTTCTTATTTACAGATTCAAAATAACAGCATATAATATTAACACAGAAATTCAATATAGATAGATATACAGTAAGCACATATGTTTTTCATTAACAGTATTCACACAGAATTTCAAGACATGAATAGTAATAAAACAATACTAAATCATAATATAAAAGCTTAGAAAGGTTAGCTCCCCTACCTCTATTCCAGACTTCTCTTGCTCCAAATTTGTTTTCTCGAAAACTCTTCAGAACCTCTATTCTTCTTGCAACTAAAAATTTCTCCCTAACTCTTTCTTCTCTATTTCTCAAGCTCTCACTTGATTCTTCTTCTTCTTGGTGCAGAATACTCTTCCCTCCCATGGCTATTTATAGGTAAATAAATTTACTATTCATTAATTTTTTTAATATTATTTATTATTTTAATATTATTTTAAAAATAGTATTTTAATCATCAACTTGATCAAATCTGATCCTAACTCCTTTCATGCTACGTAGGAATTCTTATCCTTTCAATTTTTTTTTACTATTCACTTTTCTTAAAAAAAATCCTAAATAAGTTATCAAAAATTTGAACCTCTCATTTCTAGAATTATTATAATTTTATATCAAAAAATTTAAATTTTTCTATCCATTAAAATTATTATTACTAATAAAATGCTAAAATTTACTATTATAAATATTTTTCATGAGTCTTACATCCATAAAAAAATAAAAAATAAGTTAAATTACTTATTAGTCATTAAAGGTGTTAGAAATGGATTTGATTCAATTACGAGAGGAAACAAAGTCAGTCTCTCCTGTTTTGGTCACTCCAACATTTGGTTCTCTGAAAATAAATC